CGCACTGATAACACCATCCATCCACCCACATTAATTTTGACCTACAGGCGGCGCTGTGATGAGGGTTCAGAGAAGCAGGTGTCTTAGTTACCGTTAGTGGTAATCGATCATCACAGTCAAGTTATGTCTCCATATGTTCAAAAGCGTCAAAGAGCTTCCAGAAAAGTTGGTACACTTTCTTTTAACGCTGAAACAACATGATCAAATATAACAGAGCCTGGGAGGAAGGCAACAAAAAAAAAAACCAAAAAAAAAAAAAACCCAACAAACGTTTGACATTAGACACTGACAAATCAAGTCCATTGATGATTTATAAATATATTTCTATATATGTTGTGTAGTGTATATTGTACTGTAAAAAAATCATATTGCACCATACATTAATATATAGGAAATATATACAGTAATGTATGTACAGTTTATATGGGTAAATATATATTTTAATATATATTTAAATATATATTTAAATATATTTATATATGTAATTGATATACTTATATATGTTATTTAATTTCCCAAAGGGAATCTATCCATCTATTTATCTAACATTTTCAAGATCCCAAACCAAAATAATGTGAAATAAAACAAAAATAATAAAAAAGTGATTAAATACTTCACATGTTCCTGCATTTGGTGACATCACACAGCAGTATGAGTGTGTGACAACATATTTACACACACACACACAACCCACAACCTGTGCTTAAAGTCCTGTACGTGCAGTGGTTCAATCAATAATTCAGACGAGTCAGAACCAAATGAAATGAGTGTATTACTTCTTAAGTGCTTCTAGTACTGGGAGCAGGTCATACACACTGCTGACTTGACTATCACACACAGACACACACACGGTCTGGTTGTCAGGAGTTGCGAGGACATCATGCGTTCCCAAACCTTAACTATTACAAATGTAGTCCTAATCTTAGTCCCTAATCGAACCCTAATCCCAGCTCTAATCCAAAAAAAAAAAAATCTGAAAACTCAAAATACCCACTCTTTAATAGTGAAGCCATGAAAAATGTCCCCACAAGGACAACTATACCTAGACCAGTCACACACACACAAGGTAAAACGCAGTCTCCACATCACACACTGAGACCAAACAGACACAGATGTAAGTGAATAATCGCGAACTACACCTTATCAACTACATTCCTCTAACTTGGAATTACATTGAAAAAACTGACATCATGTCATCACGTCACCTCCTGGGGACCTCGAACCACATTTTCTTCAGCTTGTGGCCTAATGGTTAAAGCACTGTTTCCCAAAGACTGGGTTGCGACCCTCAGGTGGGTCATAAGAATTTTATTTTTGGGTCGTCTCGCATCATGTTTCCCAGGAGTTTACGAATAACGTCTATTGACTTGGGTCATGAAGGTTTGTGACTTTTAAAATATGGGTTAAAGGACCAGGCTGGTGTTATGGTCTGAGGATTGCTGGTTCAAATCCATGTTGTGGCTGGACTGTGGTGCTTTGAGTGAGAAACGATAGAAACTTCCCAAGTGTCAAATCCTACGACTCTTTCATTTACGTTGCAACCATGTGTGTTGTATATTCTCTGATTCGGTCTCACACAAGGTAAAACGCAGTCTCCACATCACACACTGAGACCAAACAAACAGACACAGATGTAAGTGAATAATCGCGAACTACACCTTATCAACTACATTCCTCTAACGAATTCCATTGAAAAAACTGACATCATGTCATCACGTCACCTCCTGGGGACCTCGAACCACATTTTCTTCAGCTTGTGGCCTAATGGTTAAAGCACTGTTTCCCAAAGACTGGGTTGCGACCCTCAGGTGGGTCATAAGAATTTTATTTTTGGGTCGTCTCGCATCATGTTTCCCAGGAGTTTACGAATAACGTCTATTGACTTGGGTGGTGAAGGTTTGTAAAATATGGGTCCCCAGAAAAAAAGGAAACACTCGGTTAAAGGACCAGGCTGGTGTTATGGTCTGAGGATTGCTGGTTCAATTCCATGTTTTGGCTGGACTGTGGTACTTTGAGCGAGTGTCAAATCCTACGACTCTTCCGTTTACTTTGCAACCATTTGTGTTGTATATTCTCTGATTCGGTCTCTACAGAAGCAAACATCTTCAGTCCATTTTTCATACATAATATTTTGGTTGTTCTACATGACACTGTTATAGAACACAACACAGACAGTGTAAACTCTGTGTCTGTTCAACAACAGAAACAGGTGCTGAAAAAGTCTTAGTCGGTGGACGGCCAGAGAACTGGCAGACGCAGCTGACCTTCTACATCAAACAGGTGAACGGAGCCAATTTCAACCGAGGGAGTTAGTCACTCACACACACACACACACACACACTGCAGAACACCAGCATGGACAGCAGATTAGCTTGCCTTGCTGCAGCCAGTATCTTCATCTGACCTTGATCTGACTTGAAAGAAACGTTCCAAAGTCCTACCTGTGAAATACGGGGAATTAAATCCCAGTGAGCGCGGCCCATGTTTCTGGGCTTTAGTCAAAATTTTCACCAAGCCCGTGGAGCTCGGCTTATTTCCCCTGTTTTCGTTGCACATGTCCAATTAGTCACGAACGGTTTCACCTGAATTAATGGAAACATTGGAGCATTCCCCCTCGACACCGTGACAAGTCTTTTTGCACGATCCCAGCAAAGCTAATCATCCTTTCTCCCATTAAATTACACTGGGAATCTGACCTTGAACATACCGCCACAGCAACACATGGCATAGCTTTAATCAACCGCACGAGACGGGGGGGAGGGGGGGGGCGGCAACACTATACATGTCATTATCATGTCTCTTGTACATGTCCAATTAGTCACGAACGGTTTCACCTGAATTAATGGAAACATTGGAGCATTCCCCCTCGACACCGTGACAAGTCTTTTTGCACGATCCCAGCAAAGCTAATCATCCTTTCTCCCATTAAATTACACTGGGAATCTGACCTTGAACATACCGCCACAGCAACACATGGCATAGCTTTAATCAACCGCACGAGACGGGGGTGGGGGGGTGGGGGGGCGGCAACACTCTACATGTCATTATCATGTCTATTGTATGTGCGGTCCGTGGAGACCGCTCGCGTTGGCGTGTGTGAGAGCAGATAAAGACGAGAGGTTTCTGTGGCGTGTGGGGGGGAACACTTCACGGTTCAGATACATCAAGGACACACTCTGCTCTGCATGTACACACACACACACGCGCACACAGAAATGAGGGAGTACTGAAGCACAGTTTGACATACGTGCACACAGCGTGACACTCGAGATACGGTGAAGAGTCCTCAGTTTATTAAGACGTGCAGTCGGCAGGAAGTAGAGGGCACGCAGCGCCATGAAGATTTCATGGGTTTTACTATGAGGCCATAGAGCTGTATGTACAGGAGGGCTGTGTGATTCAAAGCTCTTACTGGTGCACTCCAAGATTCAAGAGTCAAGAGTCAAGAGTTCCTGGTCGTGTTGTAAAGAAAATGAGTCACGAGCAACTGGACACATTTTAGTCAGAGGATAAAATTAGGAGGCTAAAAGTACGGGTCACTGCAGGTGAATGAACGCTAGTTAGTCTAAGGCTACGTTCACAGGTCCCGCGTGTGCAGAAGAAGCAAGTTTCATGTTATTGGGCAATCAATGTCAGATAAATCTGATTGGTTAGCCTTATTTAGAGTGCTGTAGATCTTCCTGCAGCTTGACCTCCGGGGGCAGTAGACTCGTGATGCCTGCTTTACCTGCGTCGGTATGCAAAGTCAATCTTGTTTAGGCCTGCTTTACCTGCGTCACCTTAAGTCTCGTCGGTATGCAAAGTCAATCTTGTTTATTACACTGACTAGCTATTTCGAGTGCCTGCGTGTTTGTTTCATTAATTATTTACATTTTATTCGCAAACTCCGACACAGAATTCCATTAGACGAAAAAGTCTGATGAAATGCATGGTGGCCTCTCAAACTGAAGTGGCTTTGAAAAAATTGATACGTATCTGATTCAGGACTTGCGGGCCACAACTCTAAAATCCTTAAATTCTTTGAGCCGTTTCTACGCCATCTATTGGGGAAATGCGGCATTGCAGGGGAAAAGGCAGAAGTATAATGACAATATAAAACAATTATATAATTTGGACAAGTTTGGTGGGCTGAACCTCCATTGGTTCCAACAATCAATATTAGCCTACAACTTCCTGTCTGTCCCCACTGGACTCGTCTTCACTATAAAAGACATTCAGGAAACCATTAGAGAGACAATAAGAAAACTGATGTTAGAAATCGTGGCATCATCGACATAGACATTGACATACAGTATCCATACCTGTTACCAATGTACTTCTTTAAACAGCACTTGCTCTTCTTCCGTTGGTTCACTCCTGCAACAATAGCCTGCAATGGAAGACGCAACCTCCATATTATTCGTACAGACTACGATGATTTGGGTTTTATATAATTTTACTCATGTCCAGCTTCCAAACTGACTCTCCAGAAAAATTCAGGCCCTCTGACAAATACCGCCCCCCACAGACGCACAAACCAGAAAGCACCCCCTCCACACACACACACACACACACACACAAAGACATCATTTAATTGGTTTGTTGGACTTAATTACAG